AGAAGAGTCCAGACGAGTTCAACAAGCCCAAGGTCACTCAATTTTGAAATCGTTAAAACACTTAAATATCCACATAACGCCTTCCAATTAAGGGAATCTATCTGAACGTTGGATCTGTATTCACTCCTTAATTGTAGGGAGGTCTCTCTCTTACTTTATGAATAATTTTGAAATCGTTAAAACACTTAAATATCCACATAAAGCCTTCCAATTAAGAGGATCTATCTGAACGTTGGATTTGTATTCACTCCTTAATTGTAGGGAGGTCTCTCTTGTACTTTATGAATAGAGCACTACCCCTTCCATGAAGAGGGGACTAAGAGCTTAATCAAGAGCTATATCGCGAGGATAAGGAGCTGAAGTCTAGTGTTCTATAACGAAGGTCCAGCGAAAGTCACTTACTCCTATAGCCGCTGACCACCAGTAGTCATTGCTCGCTGGTCGTCATCGATCACCGTCGGCTACCTCATGGTCGTTGCAACAAAATCCCTTGTTGAATCATGATGGACACTACGAAATCCGAACGTACATTGTGGAGTAACGAAACACTCTGCGAAAGAGTACATCGTCTTGAACACTGTCTAACAACATATCTTGAAGATAGTGCGATAATGCACCCTGCAAACAATGTAACGACATACCCCGAAAATGGTATGGCAACTTACCTTACAAACCCATAAGGTAGTGTAAGAAATCATCATATATACAGTGTACGTGACACCCTGAAGATGGTGTAGCTACGCATCCTGCATACAGTGTAATGACACACATCGAAGATGATGTAACAGCGTACCCCGCATACTGTGTAAATACATACTTTGAATACGTGATCATGAATAAGTGGTATCTATGATCCAACAACAACTCATTACAATAACTACTTACAACCACTACACTTAGAAACAATGACTTTCTCGAACTCATGAAGTTCTCTCATCGTAGTTTTCCAATACAGCCTACGTGACCAACTACGACCTATGTATTCCACAACTTATATAGCTCCCAACTATGGTATCTGAGGTCTACAAATATTATTACAACTCGTCACTATAACCTATGAAATGAACTACGACTTAAATGACTCACAACTCATGCAACTCTCCACTCCAAGCTCTTTGGCCTACCAACATTTTTATTGCTCACCACTACGACCTACGTGACTAATTGTGACCTATGTGGCTCACAGCTGAAATAGTTCTCAATTCCAATCTCTGCCACCTACGTATGTTGTTACATCTCACTACCACGACCTATGTAACCAACTAGGACATACTTGATTCGCAGAGGGCCTACAAACATTATTATAGCTCACCACCATGACCTTTGTTGTTTACAGATCATGCAGCTCTCATCTCTACCCTCTATGACCAACAAAATTTATTACAATTCATCACGACCTAAGTGACTGACCGTGAATTACATGGCTCAAAGCTCGTGCAGCTCTTAACTCCGACCTATGTGATCTACGAATGTTATCGTCGCTCATTACTATGGCTTATGTGACTAACTTCGTCTTACAAGACTCACAACTCATGCAGCTTTATACTACGACTTCTATGGTCAACCAACGCTTTTGAAGCAACCATCCACTTTTCACATGATCAACTATCGTGACGGCTTTCAATTATGGTGTCTATGACAAGCCAGCCCTTCAACATCCACCTACAACATTCATGGCAATCTACCGCCTTTATAGCAACCGACTACGGCTCTTGTAGTCATGGTGTCTATGACAAGCCAGCCCTTCAACATCCACAACATTCATGACAATCTACCGCCTTTATAACAACCGACTACGGCTCTTGCAGTCTGTTATAACTAGAAAATACATTTATTACAGTCATATTATAGCTATTATTAATGAACTAATATGAGCTATAGTAGGCTCTAAGTCCCTGATGTCCAACATGTCCTGTTGAAAATGAGTGATGAAGCTCCCGAGAATTTTTAATGGTTCCTGATAGATCTTCAAGAGAACCTAAGAGTTCTTCTGTGGATTTTAGGCACTGACAAACCGTGCCACAAGCATACGCTTGAATTATCTTAAGGAGGTGATAACTCCCGTCAACATGTTATTAAACCAACATAAGGTAGATTCCTTTAGTATCGTAAAGAATAAATGACACTTCAGAGCTTTATTCACTCGTAGTAAGCATACCATCAATTCAAAGGATGCCATGTGGTCATATGAACCTGACTTCCTTTTATCAGATTCCAAAGATGGGATCTTGAGCTTTTGTATTGTTTCAGCTTTGGAAACTGCTCTTAAGAATGTGTTCTTCAATGTCTTTTTTCTTCTTCTCCTTCTCCTTGCTCCTTCATCTGAGGATTCTAAGACTTTTCCTTCTGAGGTGTGATGCTTATTTCTTCCTTCTTTGTCTAATTTTGGGTTGATAGCTCTTTTTAGCCCCACCCTTGGTGGCACTTGTATGGGTAACTCTTGCCTCAATAGTTCTCGTCTCGGTGCTTCCCGCCTACACACCGCTAATCACGTTGATCTCATATTTGTCCCAAGATGTGGATCAAGTTTTTGAAACTTCTTCTATTATTTCTTGGATCATTATTATGCCTTGTATTCTGATCTCATTAAATTTCCTCATAGATTTATGCTTGTTAAGTTTTGTAAGAACTTCACGCTCATAACACCTTTCGTAATGTTAAATCCCTTTAGGATGTGGGTCATGCATTATCCATGAGTTCATACAACCTAGGAGAGACCAGTGTAAAGGGGGAAAGAAGAGAATGGAGGTATTCTTTAGGCCCAAACTTCAGCTATTTGTTAATCTTGAGGATGACTAGCCTGAGAAAACTCCACAGACGGGTCCGACGAGCATATCAGCTCCTGGGAAAGTGATAGCCAAAACTTCAATTTGCCAAGTCAATCCGCTAAGTAGATTTAAGGGATCTGATGAGGTACAAGATGGGCATGATGAAGGGCTTCTAATGTCCATTAGCTGGGAATCAGTCGAGGAAAGCCCATTTATTCCATTACAGGACCATGTGGCCAATTATCAATGTACATATAAAAAACATGGTAAAATTGGAATAAGATAAAATTAATAAATTTTATTTATTTATTTTTTTATATAATTTTATGTTAACATATTTTGGTTGATTAATTGTTAATGATAGAAAATGAAAATATAAAAAATTAATTTCACCATCTAATTGTTCATTCTGCCCTAAAAATTTCAAACCACTGGGTTAAGTCATGACAAATAAGTGCCTTACAAACGATGAGTTAACATCGCTATCTAACCACAAGCCATTGATGGATCCACTATGTTTGATGAGATTTAGAAGCTCAATTTGCTTGCTTGAGTTGGAGTACTTAGGATTTGGCATGATAAGGTTGATTAAAGAAGAAATGCAATAAGAATAACTACATTTATTTGATTGATGGGAGGAATCAAGTGTTGAATAGAATAATAACACCAATGAGGTCTCCAATCAAAATTTATCCTTAAAAAGTTTAGTCCTCTCTCTTATTCATGGTCGTAAGTTCTAGTATTCTTATTTGATTTTGATCAAAGTTAATATGAAACTTCTTGAAACCTCAAAATTATAAAAATCAGCTCTCATGATTGTGTAATGAGACAACGACTCCCATAATTCTTAAGTCTCTCACTTTATCGAATAAATAAACTTCTAATTGTATAAGGATTTTCACATCCATTTAGAACTTTATTCACAAGTAACCTTGTTGTCTTGTGTAGCCTTAAATACTCGTCTTTTCCATAAATTTTATGTATAACTCATATAATTAAATAGAATAACAAAAATAAAAAAATTAAAAAGAAACAACACTAATTATGGAGCCATGTAGGCAGCTAAAGATGACATAGCATTAGCATGGTTGATTTAAGATTTGCACTTTTTTTAGGAGGGTGTATTCAATGTAAGAATAACTCTTGATTTACTTGGAGAAGATCACTTGTGGTGGAGGGAAATGGAGAGATTTGCCAAGCTTTGATAGTAGGCCAAGCTTTGATAGTAGGCCAAGCCTTAAAGCTACCTTTTCAAGTTTCACTTTAAGGTTATAATGTGGAGGGGTATTTAATGTATGAATCCACTTGGAGGTGTTTGGAGAATACTATGACATGTTTTATAGATTTTTTGGTGGACATAAATAATATCTGGAGATATTTAAGGGAATCTAGGCCAAACTTAGGTCAAATTCCCTAGTTTGGGTTAATTTAGACATATTTGAAAACATTGGGTTAGGTCAAGGTCCTAATGGTATATAAAGGGGTTGGAAAGACTTAGAAGTGTTAATAGGAATGTATAGAGGATCGATCTGTAACTTTTATTGAAGATATAAGGGATTTAAAGGGCGATGAAAAAAGAAGCTCATGATTATGCCATTAGAAAACCTAGTGTAATTAATTGATACTGAGGGGAGAGTGTGGCCTGTTTGAAGGTTGTAGGTGCAAGGGAATGGTCTTGAGAGATGAGAGAGATGTATGGGAAGACATATAGGTTAGTATTAGAAGGGAGAAGAGGCCCCGTATTACATATAGGGATAACTATATTAAAAGACGATATCTCGTGCTCTAACTTTGTGAGACAATAAGCAGCACAAATCACATCTTAGGTACAAGCTTCCTCTTAATCTTAAAAAAAAGGAGTTCGAGAAGTTCTTTTATCACTAAAAGAACATATAATCACAAATTCACAGGGAAGTTTGTATTGCAAAATGACACAATCCTTACTTTATTACATGTGTTGAGTTAAAGTTTTCTTTAATGGATAGTGACTCCTAGAATCACTCGCTCAAATTGTCATGTAAACTCTTGGCTTTTGGAAAAGTAACCTAACAAAGAATAAATTACTCTTATTTTATGTGTATTTATTTATGACTAAGAACCCTTATGTATGATAAAAGGTTATGGATTCTGAAAGACTAAATAATTAATCTTTATTCACATGACCGACCATAAACTTAAATTTAACTATAAATAATTTATATATATATATATATCCCTTAATTAAAATTTAAATCTGGATGATAAATTTATTCGATAAGGGCATATAACACGACTCCAAAATTATAGAACAACAACAACAACGACAACAAAGCCTTAATCCCACTACGTGGGGTCGGCTACATGGATCCTTTTTTCTCCATAGCGTCCCATTTAGTATCATATTCTCATTTAGTCTTAATAAATTAAGATCATTTTTTATACAATAAACCCAAGTCTTCTAGGTCTTCCTCTACTTTTCTTAAAAAAATCATAGAACATTAGACATTTTTTCATCTTTGGGATCTTCACCAATCATGGTGGAATTTCTATTCACAGGATTGGATGTAGCTATTGGCATCTCAGATTCCCCTGCACTTCTTTCAATATTAGATGAGCTTAGATAATCTTTGTTTTTCCCCCATATGAGTGAGTAGAGGCCCGCCGACATTAGTATACCTCCAATAGTCCTGTACAAGTTAGAGAAGAAGAAGAATCACATGAGTTAATTAAATAGAATTCAATGTGTTTGTCATTAAAGAAATACTTCTTTTTCACTGCTAGTGTTTATTTGAAAACATTCTTCTTGCATTGAGAAAATGCATTTGATAACATAAAATGTGTAATTAATTTGTTGTATATAAGAAGTTGTCTTTGTCTGTCCAAAGCCTCAATAACAAAAGAGATTGCATGTTAATGTAATGTTTATGCAAACTTAGATAACATAAAATAGATTTAAATACTTTTAGACATGTATAATAGGTGATAGAGTGTGCATCCATTTAATAGATAGCCATAATCAGTATCCAAATATGACTAAAAGAAAGAGTACGCAGTAGAACTTGCCAACAAAATTGACACAAAAAGAACTAATATTTGGTATGAAAAAATAGGAATATTTCATTGCCCAACTCTTTAGTTTAGATTAGGCTAATGATGTTCATGATGAGTATCACTTAAGAATGATGAAAATTTTCAAATAATCAAATAGCTACATTAGAGTTTACTTTCAATATAAAAACTCCAACAACTTATTTATAGTTAATTAATGCTTACATTCCTAGAGATATTTTCTCTGCGAGAATGACGGAGCCCATAATAGTAGTAATGATCATGACCAGAGGGCTAAAAGCACTCGCAAAAACTGGACCCCGCTCCCTCAGCACTACCCCTTGCACATAGTAGGCAACTCCAGTGCATAGCACCCCCTGCAAAATTATAAGCATTAGAGCCTCTCTCTTAATACCATAATACCTTCACAGGCTTATTCAAGTTCAACACTAACATCTAAATTTTTATTTATTTATTTTTACAATTATGCCACCCAAATCTTTTGTATCATATAAAAATACCCCTATTGTAACATTTTAAAAGTGACAGATATTTTCACATATAGGCAAAGCGACATATCATTAAAAATTGAAGTTTTGGTGTGAGCCATGTAAATACATAAGAATTGAAAGGTAGGTACCTAAATCTCTTAGTTAATTCTCTTCTGACTCATTGTAGGGGTCATTTTAATCTCAGAGTTTACAAAAATATCAATTTAGTTCTTAGACTTTTTTAATGAAACTCTTTTAGTTCATATTAAATGTGTATGGGGATTAATTTGACACTTATATAGATTAAAGGTGTAAAATTGTCACATATAAATAATGAAAAATCTATTTTTGACACTTCGCTCCTTTCCTCTATCCACACATCTCTCACAAATGAAAAAGTAGATTTGCTTACAGAGTAGATCGGAGCAAGCAGCCGCTTATCCATCCCTATAATCCATGGCCTGCTACTTCCACGATTTACCACTAACGCAACCACAGAACTCATCACCGCACCCATAACACTCACCCAAGCAGTAAGAGTAATCTCTGCTGGGTATGTTTCTAATGTGTTCGCCTGCGTTAACAGTGCATATTGTAGTTAATCACATGCAATTAATAAATAATTAACCTAACAAATTGGGATTAAAAAGGGTAGTTTGGATTACTTGTAGGATTAGAAAGCCTGCCCAGCAGGTGCAGCTTCCTATAAGCATAAATGTGCCTTTCATCCATCCGAAGCTATCTCCACCATGGCCGATGGAACTAGCAAAGCTGCTTTGTTTCTCTCGAGTTTTGGAGTAGAAGACTAAATCGAAAATGGGTCCTTTGTATAGAATCGTCAGAACTGCGCCAGCCACGATCAGAAGGGCTCCGATTGCCTTTGCCTGGCCTCTTCTGCGCCTTATGTTGAACTTCTCCGCTCTAATTTTTTATGCACAAAACTTAATTAGAAACCAAGCCAAGGTGTGGGATGGAATAGGATCTAAGACAGGATTTTAGCTAAATCCAGCCAAATATTAAAAAAAACACAAAAAAATAGAAAAACAAAAAAAAATATTAAATCCAAGGCTCTGTTAGATCAACATTTTGTCTCTTTCATTGGACAAATATTACGTCTCGATTTGAACGTAAGCTGCGTCCGGACAATGGTTTAAGGTTTTAGGGTATACTAAAAAACAGCTGCGATCCGCTCCTTTCGCTGGATAGCAGACGTTGTCCGGATGTAGCTTGAGTCCAGACTTCAGACGTAATATTTTTTCCTTTCATTAGTGTTTTTCCCGGAAATTCCATTGCGCAGAGGATTTATTCTTCCTCCATTACTTGAACTCCTCACAAAATATAAAGTTAGTGATATAGTATAGAGAGAGATGGGGGGTTAGTTTTCTTGAACGATAAGGTGAAAATTGGTATTTGTAGATAGTTTGATTTGAGACATAACAAAAAATAAAATATAAGTTGATAAATTTGAAAAATCTGATTTTGTTAAATACATATTGGATATATGAGATTTTTTATTGTTTTTTTTATTCTTTTCTTTTTTGCTTATAGGAGGATTTACATACATAGCACTAAAAACATTTGGATTTATATAACTAACACATAAATTTTACTATTTATATCATCTAGCACTTCCTTAATCTTGTTAATAGATCTCATCAGAAACTCAACAAAATGATACCATTAAGATTTCCAATAAGAAGTAACATTAAATTAGAATAGGCAAATTGCTATCGATGCGTCTGTCTCAACTAATTAATTTAAGACTTAATCACCTGAGAAGTAGTGCCATAAGGTAAGTAATCGCTGGAATTATGTTCTCAAGCGTAGAAGCAAAACTTGCTGAGGTCAGCTTAGCTCCTAAACAGAACAAGTTTTGCTCAAGCAGTGGCCTATAAATATAAGAAAAAAAAATCATAACTAGTTAGCTACAGGTCTTATTCAATAAATATAAAACTAAGAAAACAAATGCTGGATCCATTACTCCAACACAGTGAGTGCCACTATCTTAATGAATATGATTGGCGTGATCTTAGGCCTCCCTTTCCTGCACCAAAACAACACAGGTATCAATAAACTTGTTCTGAATAGTCTTGAAAAGCTTAAATAATTTCATGAAACAATAGAAGCTTTTTGTAGATTAATTGAAGCTAAATGAGAACATAAAATATTCAATCTTTTTACAGGTAGAAAGAGTGACCTCTCAAACCAGAGAGCGAAAGGAGCAATAGCTGCAGCAGCAACAATATTACGATATGCGATTAACACAAATTGGTCCATCCCGTCCTTTAGAGTCGCCACTGCTATTATGTACATACCGGCATAGACAAACTGTAGCAGAATCATGAGGACATAAGGCCTCGCTTTCTGCAAAGTTTTTTGGCTTCCATGGCCTTTGAGCTTCATCGTCTTTGTAGCTACTTCGTGCTTCTTGGTTGTTAAACCACAAAGAGAGAAGCGCAGTTGCTCGCCTTCTGCTTAAAAGAGCCTCCAAGTTTATATATTTATAGATATGTGTGCATACACTTCAAAGTGTAAATGCAACACTTAACTTAGTTTGCTTTGTACAAAATTACCTCAAATTAAGGAGAGAATATTCGGATGGGGTGTGAATCACACAGTGCCAATGCATAGTGTGGTGAGATTCATGTAGTCATCCGTATGTTCGATTAATCGGACGTAATATTTTCTCCAAATTAAGTGAGCGCTTCGGATGGGGTGTGAATCACACAGTGCCAATGCATGGTGTGGTGAGATTCATGTAGTCATCCGTATGTTCGGTTAACTGGACGTAATATTTTCTCCAAATTAAGTGAGCGAAACCTACCTTCTCTTATTTGATCAGCTGAATTAATGCTTGTAATTTCAATATATTTAAAAATTAGGGAATTTGAATGTATGGCTGTAAAAAAAAATCACCATTTTCGAATAGGTCGCATCTCCCTTGCTAAACGATTCATATTTGATTCATAACTAGTTTACTTAGATCTATGTATAAGCAAGTCAAACACGAACATCAATCATGTTTGACTCGTTTTAACTCAAATTATTTAAATAAATTTAAAAATACTTATAGCATTTTATATCATTTTTTATGCAGTTAATAAAAATATAAATTTTATTCTTTATAAATTATTCAAGCTAAATTAGAACTGAACATAAGATGAAAAAAATAGACTCGAATCAAACAAAACATGAAAATATTATTCACGAGCAATTAGGAATGCGAGCCAATTTTGAAACAAAAAAAACAATTGAATCAGCTAAACACAAATAAACACTAGGCTCTTTCGAACTCAACTCGTCTACTCCCGGTGGTAAAACCAGGGTGGTTTGAAGAGGTGCTCGACACCCCTAGATTTTTATTAAGCTCTTTAATATCATATAATATATTGACATTTTTGCCCCATAAATTTAAAATAATTAATAATAATTTAATGGTAACAACTTTTTTATTATAATAAGTGATACATCCCCAACAACGTAGCTTAATCAAGCTAGAATCTTGATACACAGTTGGACTGAGAACTCCAAATGTTTAATTTTATATACTCCAATTCAAAAGAAGTGTCCTCATAATACGACGAAGCTAACATCAGATGTGAGCTTAGATTAAATACTTATAGCATAGAGAGAGAAAGGAACAAATGATCTTTAAATCTAACAAGTTTATAATCAAATCGAATTTCTCGACGAGATAAATCTAACAAATTTAAATTTAATTAATTCTGACATCATTAAGGTACTTACAAACTCATAAAATAACATTCAATCAAAGAGATTACTCTTGGTCATCAAATGGAATGATTTTGAGGAGAAAGTTGAAAAAGCTCCAAGCTCTTGAAGCTTTTGAGCTCACCACTAGGGTTGTCAAAACAGTTAGTTGTTCTTAAACAGTTTGTGTTAAGAAGCTCGTGTTCAATTTGATCGATAAATAAACGAGCCGAACACAAATAATGTTTTTGCGCTCAATATGCAAACAAGCCAAACACGAATAAAGATTTGTCTGTCCGTGTTCGGCTCATTTTGGCTCTAAATAGTTTTATATATATATATATATATATAGATATATAATTGATGAATATTATTTTTAAATAACTAAATTGGCTACAAGGCTACAAAGATTTATAATAAATTAAAATTATTATTTTTAAAAATCTATTAAATTCTATTTAAATGAATATTTTAATATAAATAATATGATTTAAATCTCTTCCCTTCTCTTAACATTCTAGAGCTACGTGACTAAGGATATCAAAACTGCTCACAAATAGCTCATGTTTATCTCGCTAAGCAAACAAGCCAAACACGAACAATTTTTTTGAGCTCGATATATTAATGAGCTGAACAAGAAGAATGATATTTTTAATGAGCCGAACATGAGCATTGTGTGGGCTCGCTCAAGCTCGGCTCATTTGCATTCATATCCACAACCTTCGTCTGGGCACTGTTGTGACCATACCACTGTTGGTCGTCTATCACTGTTGTCTCTGCTAGACCATTATTGTTTGGTCCTAGCCATCACCAAATCATCGTTGTCTCGCTACCACATATCCATCGTCGGACCGCCGCAGTCGGACCATAGTTGCCTAGCCACTACCATGTCATTTGGTTGCCGCTGTCGCCAATCCCCTGAAGCCCGATCGCCTCCT